AGCCAATGTTCCCACAAAAAAAGTGAACGAACTGCCCCAAAATGGCGTCCAAACATGGCGGATTGACGACTTTGACTTTAGTTCGTTTTTTTGTTACTGAGAATCAGCATTTGGCTTAATTTCATTATAGTTGGTCTTTTATTAAAGCTGGATAGTCAGAGAATAATAAAACATGAAAAAATATTAAAAACTAATTGGCTTAGGCATTAAAAAAAAATCGGTAATCAATTTTTTTTACAAAAAAATTTTCAAGTTGAAAATCAAGTGTCGTTTGTAATTAAACGGTCAATAATAATGCAAAACGTGCTGAAATAAAACATCTGGAGAATACATTTCTCTTTCTAAAACACAGATTACTTTTTAAAATATTTGAAGTAGTTCCGTAGAAAATGTACTTAAGCGGCAGAAAAGCGCTACCGGCGTAGGTGCCTTCAGGCCTCTACCACACTACTCAGTACTCATAAATGGCTTAGTTATAGTGCTATAATAACGTTTTTGTTATATTATTTTGATTGTATTAACGAACAAATATTAATACAATAATTTAATTGTAAATTTTTTTTTAAATTTATTATTTTTGTTTTTATTTATCATTATTATTTTTTTTTTAATTTAACTTCATTTATTCTATGCGGAGGTCGCTTAAGAAGGCCTCTATTATAAAAATTATATAATTATAATAATAAAACTTAATTCAAAAATACTTTGCAGAATATCTTGAATTTTTTATTTAATATTTGCAATTTAACATTTTGTTTTATATATTTACTGATTCTTAGAGGTAATTTAAATTGTATGTACTTCCTCGGAAATGAGTCATATTAATACCTGTTTTATAAACTAAAATAGTATATACCTAATTTGAACTACTTTTAATGAATAGGTGATGATCATTTAGTAAAAATCACTATTACAAAAATTATTTTTATTTCCTTTATTTTTTTCGGAAGTTGGACCATATCACAATAAATACGAAATTTTAATATTAAGTGCATTAATATTAAGGCTACAAATGTATTAGAAAATTATATGAAAGGACTGTAGTTTTGTCCCTTTACAGGAAATGAGATACTAGGAAATGTTATTCGAGATTCCTTACTGTTCATAGTACCAAAGAAAGTCTACTCAAGAATCGTAGAAGCTAAAATAAGAAATATTGTCCAATTGTCTGAGTGATATGGATTGAGAAACTCATGTTGCAAATTGGAACATAAGTTGCAAATTGGGACTTTCTTCACTTTAAGGTAGGTTATAGAGAAATCCACAGAGAAAGAAAAATGGTTCTCTATCTGCTTAGTGCCTCACAATTTGGATTGATCGAATATCTACTAGTCTTTCACAAAAGCTCGTTTTCCTTTCAGATTCCTTCAAAAATCTTCTGCAATTGCACTAAGCAGGGGAAGAGCTATTTTCCTTTATTGATAGACCTCTCTATAACCTGCTTCAAAGTGAAGATAGTCCCAATGTACAACTTCAATAGCAATCTAAAATTAAGTGGTTTACACCATTATAAACCTCGTTTACTTCCTCCAGACCTGCTTGCCAATTGCTTAAAACAAATCTTTCTTGCTGATAGACCACTTTATCAGCAAGAAAGATTTGTTTCACCATAATAAACCTGCTTAATATCATCCAAACTCATCAAGCATTTTGACCCTCTTTTAGTGAAATATTCTGTTCATCTGTCTACTATATATTCGTTTAGCCATATAATGGACACTGATCCTTGTTTTCTTTTCCGAAATTTTGGCACTTCCTTTGTCGTTCGCATAATGTATTTTTCCAATTTTTAGGTTCAATTTCGAGTTTTCCCTCATTTTGAGACCAAATACTAACAATCAGTTCAAGCTACCTATAAGAAATTATAGCTTTGCCCTTTCCATATTTCTTTAGTGCAGAGAGAATAATGCATTTAATATTAAAATTTCGTATTTATTGTGATATGGTCCAACTTCCGAAAAAAATAAAGGAAATAAAAATAATTTTTGTAATAGTGATTTTTACTAAATGATCATCACCTATTCATTAAAAGTAGTTCAAATTAGGTATATATTATTTTAGTTTATAAAACAGGTATTAATATGACTCATTTCCGAGGAAGTATATACAATTTAAATTACCTCTAAGAATCAGTAAATATATAAAACAAAATGTTAAATTGCAAATATTAAATAAAAAATTCAAGATATCTGCAAAGTATTTTTGAATTAAGTTTTATTATTATAATTATATAATTTTTATAACAGAGGCCTTCTTAAGCGACCTCCGCATAGAATAAATGAAGTTAAATTAAAAAAAAATAATAATGATAAATAAAAACAAAAATAATAAATTTAAAAAAAAAATTTTACAATTAAATTATTGTATTAATATTTGTTCGTTAATACAATCAAAATAATATAACAAAAACGTTATTATAGCACTATAACTAAGCCATTTATGAGTACTCAGTAGTGTGGTAGAGGCCTGAAGGCACCTACGCCGGTAGCGCTTTTCTGCCGCTTAAGTACATTTTCTACGGAACTACTTCAAATATTTTAAAAAGTAATCTGTGTTTTAGAAAGAGAAATGTATTCTCCAGATGTTTTATTTCAGCACGTTTTGCATTATTATTGACCGTTTAATTACAAACGACGCTTGATTTTCAACTTGAAAATTTTTTTGTAAAAAAAATTGACTTTACCGATTTTTTTTAATGCCTAAGCCAATTAGTTTTTAATATTTTTTCATGTTTTATTATTCTCTGACTATCCAGCTTTAATAAAAGACCAACTATAATGAAATTAAGCCAAATGCTGATTCTCAGTAACAAAAAAACTAACTAAAGTCAAAGTCGTCAATCCGCCATGTTTGGACGCCATTTTGGGGCAGTTCGTTCACTTTTTTTGTGGGAAAATAGGCTTTTTTTAAATAAATTATCACAAGGAACACAACGATATGTAATTTATAGGGACGTGGGGGGGGGGGGGGTGCACTGTAAGGGGGTCTGGCCCACAGACTAAACCTACTAGGTTTGGAAAATTCAAGTGTGTTCCTGTTCACAAATATTTTAATGGTGAGTCCTTACTGTTTTTTGTTTTGTTTTATCATCATTTAAGATTTAAAATGTTAAATATTACATTTATTTAAATCAAATTACATTGAATTTTAAATAGATAGTTTAAAAAAAACCAGTACTTACAGAAACCTCTATACACCTTAATTGATTATATAACCTACCCTCTTATCACAAACACATATAGGGTTCAACGTTTAAGGTTAAAGGCAAGTTTGTTCGTGTAATAAATAAGATTAGTACTGAGATTTTACATTTATAAATTTCAATTTGTTTATCATTACTTATCAAGAGTAATTAGTATTTATTTGAGAATTTGGTGTTTTTTTTTTGTTTGAATTTTGTTTACAAATGATAGTTTGGACAGATATGATTAAAATTTGAGAATTATCTCTTTCAAAGAAGTATTAGTGTAATAAACTTTCTTCCTTTTGTTTTATTTAATGTCAAATAAATAGACGATATTTGTTATTTGAGGTTGATTTACTGTGTTCTATATGAACTGTTTAACTCTATTGCCTTCATCCATCACTCAGAAAGTCTCATTATGCCCTCTTTCTAAAATCGTAGACACTTGAAAAATATTTAATGAGATGCGTTTTTACTTCGCTTTCGGATTTGTGACATTTATTATGGAGAGAAAAAAGACATTTTTTAACAAGAGAAACAAGTAGTGATTGGACAGGCCAAAGTAAGGGAAGTACAGAGGATGAGATAAAACTTCCCAATCAAACTGCAAGAGTTTCCGTTTTAGGGGCAACACAACATGCAGTCTTTTGTTGTTGTGATGAAATATGCAAAATATTGAAATCAACTCAATAAATTTAAAGCCGCCATAACCCTGAAAGATAGCCAGAATCAGCTACCCGACAAGGTGTCATTCTTAATAATGAATTTTTTTTTTCTTTTTGCCCTTCCTTTCCTCGCTTTTTTAGGCTATACAGGAGTTTTCCCAGACCAGGGGGTGAGGGCAGGGGATAATGCCAGCGTTAAAAGCCCCCCCTCGGCTCTGGGATACCAATTCGTACTTATTTTATCAAATTATATCTTTCACCAGATGATGTTCACATGTGTTAGCCTGCTCGACCACCATCACATACTGCAATCAACTAGATAAATTGAAAGCCGCTAGAGCCGAAAAACTGCCAGAATTAGCGAACCAACTAGATGTTGTTTTTCATCATAACGCAAAACCACATCTACAGGTTGAGTTGGCCATAAGGCGAAAACTCTTATAGTTTGATTGGGACGTTTTACCTCATCCTCCGTAATCTCCTGATCTGCTCCATCTGATTATTACTTATTTCTCTTGTTAAAAAATGTCTTGTTTCTCCCAATAAACTTCAAAAATCCTAGATTTTGCACCTAGATGAATAGCTTACAAGTAAACCTCAACAATTTTGGAAAGAGGGCATAATGAGATTTCCTGAGAGATGGAAGAAGGCAATAGAGCTAAACAGTTCATATATACCACAATAAACCAACCTTAAACAACAAATATCGTCTATTCATTTTACATAAAAAAAAAAAAAAAGGAAGAAACTTATGGAACATCCTAATATTTCCAAAAATTTAGAATTATTCACCAATAAATGAAAAAATAGGAATGTTATTACTCTTTGAGTGGGGTTTGTGGGAAAAGAAGGAATAAAAAACATTAAGGAACTAAAAGAGAACATTTAGATTTCTACCTATGTGTATTTTTGTGGCAGCGTCTTCATAGAGAAGAAGACATTTTTATTAATATTTTTAATAGCATTAGGGAATTTTCACACCCCAAAGAATGTTAATATTAATCTTTTTTGTAATATTTAGTTTTTAAAATGTAATTTTCTTTTTTTTACAAATTGTATTGATAAAATATAATACAAAATGAAAGTTTTGATATTATTATATTTCTTTCTATTAAAGGAATTTTAGTAATGAAATGTAATTAAAATTGAATTTAAAAAGCCATAAATATGAACAAGAACCTAGGTGTTATCCGTGCCAGGTAATGAGTGTAACAGTGCCAGCCAGACATCTTGGTGTAGTGAAATTTCTGCAAATGGCAAAAAAAAGAAATTCTAAATAATTTGATTTTAGATTATTTAATCTTAATATTGATTTTAAATTAATTAATCTTGATGTTAATATCATTTTGTTTGCCATTCATCATAAGGATAAACTGAAAAAAAGTACACTATTTACATATAATAATGAGGAAAAATACTAATTTAGACAATAATACAAGGCTTAGCGAACCCGAAGGTTCAATGCTGACACCACAAATCACTTATTACACACCTCCCTCCACCGTTCGCCATCCAAACCCAGTCCCTTGAGATCGGCTTTAACGCAATCTTCCCACATTCCCCTCGGTCTTCCCTTTGAACGTTTACCATTCGGTACAGCAAATATTAATCTTTTAGGAATTCTTTCGTTACCAAGCCCGACAATTTTACAAGCCCATTTGATTCTAAGCAAATTTAATCACTTCAATTATATTAACCGGATACACTTCATGCAATTCGGCGTCTGAACTCTCTGGTTAACTCATTCTTCTTTGGTCCAAATATTCTACGCAGTACTTTATTAAAATAATAATTTAACAAATTAATTAATAATTCCATATTTGTAATTTATTGATAACTTAGTATACAATGGAAATGAAAAAAGTTAATAGCTTAAAATTACAGCACAATTTGTTTATTTAAATTGATAGTCCAGTCATTGAATGGCCCAAAAGGGGGTGTAGAGTGCTTGAGCAGGAACCTAAGCTATTCAGACATTTTTTCAGGGTGCTTGCTTATTGAAGATATCAAAAGTGCTGACATCTAGGTGGTTAGCCGTGGGGGAGGGAGGAAAGACCACAATTTTCACGTTTATTCTTATATCTCAAAGGTGAGTCATAGGGAAAATTGACTAATAATAAATGAAAGTTTATAAAATTATTTAAAACTTTTATTCTGTAGGTTTGATCCGAATACTCAACCATTTTCTAGCTATACATTCACAAAAAGATGACATTTTTGAAGAAAAAAAAACATTTTACCTCATATTTTTCAACAAACATTCCTTCATATCGTCTAAGATATTCATCAGCAAAAGAAATTCATTTAAAAGAAGTTGTAAAGACTTAAATTCCCTATTAGAATATATATAATAATAAGGCTTAGCGAACGTGAAGGTTCGATAACGATACCACAAACCTGTTGTATACACACCTCCCTCCACTGATCGCCTTCCAAACCCAGTCCCCCTTCAGATCGGCCTTAACGCAATCTTCCTACCTTCACTTTGGTCTACTGCTCGTATGTTTACCAGTCGGCACAACCTTTTAAGAATTCTTTTGCTACTAAGTCCAACAATTTTACAAGCTCATTTCATTTGCCGCAATGTAATCACCTCAATTATATTAACCGGATAAAATTCACTCAATTCGGCGTTGTATAACGATCTAAACTCTCTAGTTAACTCATCCTTCTTCGGTCCAAATATTCTACCCAATACTTTATTTTCAAAAACCTGAAGGCGTTGCTCATTTCTTGATGTAAGCAGCCACGTTTCGCATCTATAAAGAACCGTAGAGAGGATAATGGTTTGATAGATTCTAATTTTTAAGTTCAGGGATAGGAGGCGCGAGATAAGTAATTTTGTCACAGAAAAAAAACAAGCATTTCCCGCCTTCAGCATAACCTTAACCTCTTCTTCAATTTCATTTTTTCTAGTTATAGTAGACCCTAAATTTCTCAACGTCTTCAAATATATTACCTTCTGTATCGATATCACGGGAGAATCTATATACATATACAAATTAATCTTCAAACAGTCTACAGTTACAGCTATTTGTTTCCAAGGACTGTGTAATTGGAAAATGTGGATGGCGAAAAGCAATGCTTACCTGTTCTGCAGCATGCCTCCACTGCAAAGGGAAATGCCTCAACAGAGCGCTCTTGCTGAGGACGATAATGAAGAGGATGTAGAACCCATTCAGCAAGAACCATCCACTTTTGAGGGCGAACATGCCATGGACAAACAACCCTTGCCAAGATCTTCATGTCCAAAGGGGATGAAAATCTGAATCCATATAGAGTTGTCAGTGTAATATTAAGAAGTAATGGAGAAAAGTGTAGTTCGAAAATGGTTGAGAAATCAGAATAAACCTGTAGAATATAAGTTTTAGATAATTTTATAAACTTTCATTTATTATTAGACAATTTTTCCCTGTAACCCACCTTTTTCGAGACATAAGCAGAAACCTGATAATTGTGAACTTTCATCCCCCCAGCTCACCACTTAGATATCATGAATTTTGATATGTTCACACCCTAAGTACCCTGAACAAGTTTATGAAGGAATTGCTTAGGTCCTTGCTCACACACTCTATACCTCATTCTTTGACTGGACTATGATGTGGGTTTGCCTATCATGTTCTCAGCACTAAGGTACATCAATAGTTCCAGAAACAAATTAATGATTTTCTAGAAAAAAAACTCATTTAATCCTTATTATAGATATGATATAGAAATAGAAATATTTTTTAAAAAATGTACACCATAATTGTGTAATTTCCTGTACAATGTGCACACTGAATGTGAAGAAATAAATAAGCAAAGTCTTAATATAAATTGCTTGTTTTTTGTAATCAATAATTCTTGATTTGTCAGTTTGTACCAATAGGGTTATAGATAACTGACACATCACTGCCCAACTAAATTTCTATTTCTAATGGATATGCATATTAAAATATATTTAATCCTTTAACGATCATGATCCGCAGTAACATGACCTTATAGTTGTCGGCAGCAAGGTGGGCGGGCTTCTGTGACGGTGATACATATGACCCAAGTAAACTTTTATATTGAAGTATTACCAAGATACCTGAGATTGGTCTCAAATCATTAATTTTTTTTTTCATATCTAATACAATAAAATAATTTCATGAATTAGGTGATAAAAATCAATTCAAAATAACTAACATTCAATTATAATATAAATATCAGAGACGATTCTTCAAGAAACAATATACAACAGTAAAGTAGAAGTAGAAATTAAAATTTAAAAAACATAATTAAATGCATGAAAAATTCAAAGAAAAGGTTTAACAAAACTCTTCATGGAACTGATAAGAAAAAGTCTAGAGTAAAATAAAACTTTTAGGTATACACCAACCTTTTCAAGTTCTTTTCTTAAGGCAAATACTGCCTTTTCTCGATCAGCAACCAATTCTTCTAAATACTGATACCTTAATTTTTTGCGGGCACGGCATTCTCGAGCACTCTGTCTGCTCCTTTCTAAACATAATTACACCTCAATAGTGCACAATCTGAAGTAATAACAATTTCTCAATTGAATGTTTCACTTCCTCACCTAATTTAGCTTTAATGTCCATGTTGTGGCTTTAATTCCTGGTATGATAACAGGGTATAGTTGTCAAATCACTGCTTCTATATGTTCCTAAAGAGAAAAAACATGTTAGTAACTTATAAGAAATCCATTTTTTTTTTTGAGCTTTGTTCTTTCTTAAAAACAAAATTACGATTTCATCATATCATTAAAAAACATTAAATGAAGCAGAGCTCATCACAATAGAATAAAAACCTTAAATTTCAATTTAAATACATTTAAACATTAATAAAGTATAACTTTCAAATTAAAAACATTCACTCGCAGTTTGTTTATATTCATAATTTATTACGAGAATAAAAAAATTAATCATATGTACATTATGTTACAACAGTATCCCTAAAGATTAGCAGTTAAAACACTAAAGATTAATTTGTTCTGGTTCAATGTCAAGTCAATATCACATAATTCATATAGTAAATGGAATTCCAATAAAAACAGAATGGGTTCACAAGTATAACAAAGCAACCAATCTTGGCATGGCCATATTTTCAACTGAAAATGAACTACTAGGAATTTGTTAAAATCTTCATCAAGTGTTGTGAGTATTTCTGTCAAAATGATTGTCAAATTTCGGCTACTTTTGAAAATCTATTAACCAGTATGATTGATGTGATCTTAATCAACATGTCGACCAAATGTTACACCGTTAAACTAATATCTTGAAGACATTCATTACACTCACAATCTTTTATAGAACACAAAATTATCTTCATAGTGAAATAAATTGTTAACGATAGGTGAAGAAGCAAGCACTTATCTTATTTCAACAACAAAGGAATTCAACATTAGTCAGCCTATCAAACTTATTTTCCTAATAAAAGTAATTTAGTATCTAACTAATGCAGTCATTTTTTCATCAACTTAAACTCAATGTTTAATATTTACGATGGCTTATAGTTGTGCAAAGGTAATTTAGCATAATATTCAAAATGAAGAGTATGTATGTATGTATGTATACATAAACATATATGTATGAGTAATTATTAATAGGAGATACTTAAAATATAATATATATTTATAAATGAAAGATAAGACTAAATATTGTTTAAAACACAAAATTTATTCTATTTTAAAATTTGAAGAACATTTACTTATGACAAATATTCCTTCCCAAAACAGATGTCAATAATGTTCGGATGAGCACATGACAAAACAAATAAAAGGTAAACAGATACTGCAGCCACAAACATTACATACACCTGAGAGCAAAGAGAAACATGATGCTAGTAAAATACAACATTTATTGAAATGTGGCCCCGCCCCTTGTCAAATTTCCCCTTTATTAAGTCTACTCTTCTTTATTAAACTATCACCTTTATTATGTCTTGTTTATAAATTCTCGAAATGATATATCTGATGAAGCATTGATTCTTTAATTATTTTGCTCTCCTCAAAGGGTTTTTGACGCATTCCAGGTATATATACAATTTGCAATCGTAGCAGCTTTCATTTTATAAACGGATCTTATAAAAGTTTGATTACAACTTCTTTTACGTTCTTCCATTAGATGACCAGGTCAGAGAATAAAATGAAGAATTCACCAGTCCTTATAAGGCCTCCAGGCTTTCTTAAAGCTTTCTTTTCACCTCAGTTGGAGACGGTCAGAACAGTCTCCTTTGTGGATAATAAACCCTACAGTATATGCTCAGCATTCTGTTCACCTTCTCTTCACACGAAGAGGAGACAGGAGCCAATACGGAACTTTCAGAACAGGCGGGCTTTGAGCCTGTTGTGCTCCGTTCGCCATCGGAAGATTAAGAACAGCTCTCATCGAAAATTTCGTAAATAGGAGTTGTTACGTGGATGACTTCTGATCTATCGTTGCTTAAAAGAAGCTTTTTTTTTTTTTATAGTTTTCACCTCTTCTAGGCTGAACTTACTATCAAATTGAGGCCCCCTACTTGGCCTGCTGATTGGTTCTTACGTTTCCAGAGAGGCCACCGTGTCCAGGGATCCATTGAAGGACAACTTTCTTGTGTAAGGACATCAAGTCCTCAAGCTCATTGACAAGTTTTATCAAGCTTTAGTTTCACTTCGAAATGAGTGATTGCAGCACTGGCCGTGAAACACAATATTTGAGTTTTCGGGTCTCTATAGTTTCTGCCTGGCTTCTTGCTCAGACCGATAATTGGAAGAAATAATGCTAGTTGGAACAGCCTTCTCAATAAATTTCCCCGCAAGAAATTGTAAATTGATACCTGACCCATCGTTTGTTGGTTAACATGCGACCGATCCGTCAGTGTAAATACGAGTCTTTCGGGTACCTGGTATTTATATGTTGGAGGGAAAGATATTTCAAAAGTTCCTGGGTTATGTTGTCCTTGTTTTTGATATAAGAGATGGATAGCAAAATTTGTGATTTCAATAACTGCTGAGATAAAATAAAAATCCTCTCGGTTGAAGCATTGATGTTCATCAAGCATTGTTTAAAGGCTGTTCTTCTTTTTGTTGGTCAGAAAACTATAAACTAGAGTAGTTATTCAAAATTATCCTCCGTCAAAGGCCATTTATTTTGCCATGATGGTATCTAACATTCCAAATATGTGACATTATACGACGTTTCTCTAAAGAAGAAATTAATTATTCAAAGAAATGGTTTGGAAATTGATTGGAATAGAATATGGGACATTTTCACGGCTTATTTATAAAAAGTCTTAAATCATACTCGTATATTCGCTAAAATCTATGGAATTCTAAAAACAGTACTTCATTTTTAGACTTCTTTCCCGTTAGATTTGAAATTGGCCATATCGTGCGATCGTTCGAGAGAAAGTACACACGTCCGCTACTATGCTAAGTTACAGGCGAACTCATGTGCACCACGAAGTAAACACGCCCGATACTAGATTGCACCATGGGTGAAAGTCTACGCACATGAACAAGATGATATTCTTTTTTTTTTATAATACACTGCAGGGGTGCCCATCCCCCCCCCAAGGTTGATGGCGCAGGAACCTACCTGCCCAGCTCCTCCCAAGATATTTTATTGCTCACCTTTTCTTAAAAACAGAGGAAGCTAAGGTAGAATTAGAAAATTCGTAAATCATATACAATTACACTTGCTGTGGTCTGTTCTATGTTTCCCCTTGTCCCTTAGAAAATTCATAGCCTCGTAAAAATTTTCCCCCTCAAAAATTCAAAAACCCGTCAAAATATACCTCCTCAAACAATTTGATGGCGCAACTTACGCCATGAAACCCCTTTCTGGACAGCCCTAATATTATATACAAAATAGTTTAAAAATATGTAAAGATGTATATATACAACGTATATGTATATTTTTTACACACTTTGAAGACTTTTGGATTCTATATCATTTATCAACCTCGACATTGTGTTTTGGACGATTATCAGTAGTATTTTCGTTGTAATTGTAAATCATACATAATAGCATTTACAACCTCTGATTTTCTTTGCTTTTACTCTCCTTCCCCCCAGCTAATTATAGAAGTTCATTTCCACACGCCAAAGGTCAAACTCCATCCCAGACCCTTACTCTCTCTTGTGGTGTACCTCAGGCTTCTTCTCTATCCTTCATTCAAATTGATATTTATATTAGTAACCTCCTCCTGACCTATCACACTCAATACCATATCTATACTCACGATTTCTTAATGTACCAGTCCTTTCCACTTTTTGATCTATTATCAACCAAAAAAAAAACATGGTTATGAAACTCCGTCAGTGTAATGAAAAGATAAAGAAAACTTACGAAGCTTTTATTTAGTTGAAACACAACATAAAGGATGTACAATTGTAAATATAAGAAGGTTGTAATCTGCTAATCTGATCTTAGGACAAACAAATAAATCACATTTTTCTCCCTTTTTTTATTTTAATTTATTGGATAATATAACAATCTGTCACATGGAAAATGGTTACAGGGAGATAAGGTAACATTCACACAATATGTGCAAAAAATAAAATAAAATAAACAGAAACAAAATCACTAAATAATAATAAAAATGTATATACAATAAATAGAATAAAATAACTTAAAGATAAGTCAATTAAAGAAAAAAACCAAGTGCATAACTATATACACTATTTATAATCAGGCGAGCGAACTCCCAAGCAGGCTTATCTCTCCAACTTTGAAGGGAAAAGCAGGACTCCAGGGGATGCCTGCGCTATTCTCTCAACTGCTTCACTGGTATTAAAGCCAGTGGAGATTGATCGAGAGCGCTTTAGCCACATACTCATGTCTTGAGTGGAGAATCTGACCATTGCCAGAACTCCAATTTATATAACCTACAAAAGGTCGCGGGGCGATTGCCATTTTAACCTGTTCAACATGATTAATCAGGGAGAGTTGCATTTGTAGGTTTAAGGACGGTGTTTTAAGATCTCAGTTATTGGAAAGGAGAGCGTTGTCTTCAAGACGCTGCCCTGCGGAACTCACGCCTCAATTGAATAATAGTCGGAGCATTCAGTACCACAGCGAACTTGGAAGGAGCGGTCAGAGAGGTAGTATGGGAGCATTAGATATAAGGACTGAGTTAGGTGGGATATAAGCTTGAAGAACAATCCGGCGTGCCATACTCGGTCAAAAGTTCAGGCTATGTTCAGAAATGCACCGGAACGATATTGCTTCTTTTCTAGGGCTGAGGATATATAGTCAACGATTCGGAGTCTTTGTTGGACAGTGGACTGTTTGGAACGGAATCCGTATTGATAGGTAGGATGGTTTTGGGATTCAATTATGGGTAGAATTCTTTTCAGTACGATATTTTCAAAAATGTTTGAAAGGATTTGGAGTAGGCTAATTGGTCTATAGGATAATGTATTATTGGAAGATTTGTCTGGTTTCATGAAAAGAACGATGGTGGAATGATTCCACAAGGGAGAGAAGAGGGTAGTTCTTAGGATGCAATTATAAATATATATCAGGAATATGATAGTTTTGGGAAAAATAAAAGTTGTCGTCGTTAAATGATATTCCAGGAGTAAAGAAGGAAGAGGTTGATGGAGGAATGCAGGAGGAAGCTGATATAAAATATGAATTTAAATCATCAGGTTTGACTGGAAAGACTGCTGAGGAAGGTGATCTGGAAGAGTCACAGAGGGAGAGTTTACGAAGGAGTTGCCATTTGGTTTTGGAATCAGGAGCTGCTGAAAGGGCTTCGTGGAAATAGGAGGATTTGGCTCTTCGGATTTTGGTTTGTGTCAGGTTACGGAGCACCCTAAACGCTTGGTAGTCGTCAGCGAGCCTAGTGCGTCTAAAGCGTCTGCGGGCTGCATCGCGTCTCTTCTGAAGATCTTTAATTTGCTGACACATCCAGGGAGCCGGGGGGCGACGAAAGGTAGAGCTTTTGATGGGAGCATGGGAATCAAGGATATTAAGGAGGTTGGAAGTTAAAATATCAACCATAGAGTCAATACATGAACAGGAATATATTCCATTCCAATCAAGGGTTTCCAGGTAGGGTAAGATTTTTTCACGAGTGAGGACATCAATATTACGGAAAGTTATGGTTCTAGGTAGGATCGGAGGAGTATGGATATTATATAAAATTTGAATTAGGTCATGAGAGGGTAAAAAGGAGACCGGTACTTGTGAGGAGGAAAGGAGGTTCTGAGCGGAGTCGATAATGTAATGGTCCAACCAGGTATCGGACCTGGGGGTGTGATGAGTGGGCGAAAAAGGAACAATGAAAAGATGAAGAGAGAAAAAAAGGTTTTCGAGGTATGATTTATCGCTGGAATCGGAAAGGAAATTAGTGTTTAGGTCTCCGGAGATGATTATTTTGGTATAAAGAGGAACAAAGTTGAAGAGGGATGATTCAAATGATGGATCAAAGGGAACAAGAGGAGGTCTATACACTACGACATAAAGGATAGGAGATGTATCAAAGGAAATTTCAGCGATTAGGAACTCTACATGTGGGTGATCGGATGGAGGAGAGCAGTGGAGTATTCGGGTCTTCATGCATTCGTGAACATACAACGCTACACCTCCGCCAGTCCGGCTCGTCCGGTCGTGGCGGATTAGTGTGTAGTTAGGAAGGGAAACAGATGAGGACTGGATGTAAGGCTTGAGCCAGGTTTCGGAAATTGCAATGATATGGTAAAAATTATGGGTAAAGTATTCAAGGAATTCATCATAGTGGGCTGGGAGGGATTGGGAGTTGACGTGACAGGTATTAAGGATGCTAGACATGATTAGGCTTGAGGAAAATAAAGTCAGAATTTGGTGAGCAGACGCTAGACCGGATATGATACATTAGATGAAATAATGTAAAAATAAAAATATAAGAAAAAAACCTATTAAAAAGAAAAAAATTTTGAATGCAATAATCAATAGAAATAAATTAATCAAAAATTTCCGGTAGTAACATAACATACATTTCAGATTTTCAGTGTGAGTCCTGTAAACTAAGCCAAATTGTTTATCGATGTTGAGGAGTAAACAGGGATCGAAGAGTCAGCCGAAGACGTCTAGGTCTTGACTCTGGTCGATAAAGACAACCTGATGACCGTCATCCTTTCGACACCGCAGTCTGCCGCCGGAGAACCATATATATTTTATTTTCCCTGCTGATTTCTTCTGCCGAGCGAGCCAGTAAAGGTACCTTTTCGTCGGGGTCATTTCCTCGCTGAGATAAATACGGTGGCAGTCATTTTACTGCCAACCGATTTCCCGCGTCGAGAAGTCCCTTTTTACTTTTCGCTTCTGCACCAGGTCGTCTCTCGCTGACTGCCTGACGAATTTCGCGATGATAGGCGGTGGTCGAGGGTCATGTTTTCTTGCTCTTCGGCGCTGCACAGTGTCTATATCTTCGACATTGAGTGTAATGCTCAGACCGGCCCCAATACTTGTAACCAGGGCTGCGGGGGTCTCACCTGCTCGAACCGGGATTCCCCGTATCTCGAGCGATCTACTAAGCAAGCCCTGTTCGGCTTTATTCAGCCTGACCTCCAGTTCACCGACTTTAGATTTGAGGGCTTTATTTTCTGA